CCAGCACATGATTATTTTTTTCATGAACATGCAGGACAATTATGGAATAGGAAGCTGACTCGGGATCAGGGTGTGGGTGGGAAGATGATGCCGTGCAGATGAGAAGGCTGCTGGGGATATGTGTGTATAAGCCACTTAACCCAGGGCATGGCCTGAGGCCGACATTAATACATTACTCATCTATTACTACAAATTATATATATTAACACATTAATTAGTAGTCAGCAATTAATACTGAATCAGAATCCAAATTTGAATCTTTACATGATTCCTGCCAAGTAACCTGACTCCAGCTTAAGCTTATGATGGGGAACTCACTACTTTCATAGCTCATGAGATATTTGTGTGTCTCTTAAAAATTTTGTTCTGTGCCTTCCACCCTTTCAGCCATTTCCCATAGTGCTTAAGAGCTGGAAGCTCTGGAACCAAACTGCCTTGGCTCGGTCAGTCTCCTCTACCTGGCTGTGTGACCTTGTGAGTTACTTAACCTCTGTGTGCCTCAGTTTCTTCATTTGGAATAAGAAAATAATAATAATAATAATACTTATCTCATAGGGTGGTTATGGGATTAAATGTAGGAACAGAGAAAGCACTTAGGACAGTGCCTGGCACATAGCAAGGGTTCAGGAAATTCCAGTAAGTATTGTCAGTCTCTGATTTATTTTCCCCTTTGTGAAAGTATAAAAGTTGAATAATTAAAGCACATTAAAAGTAAATACACCCGGCAGAGAGATAAATGAAGTGTTTGCATAAATATGAATTAAGAGAGTCACACTAAAAAAAAAAATTGTTCCCTGTTGAGAACAGCAAGCATCTGGAAGAAATTAAAGGGGGAAGACGGTGGGTGGCATGGTGATGTAGGCTGAGAACACACTGTGACTGTTAGAAGGAGATCATTCGTTTCTGGGGTGAGTAAGTGATCCCCCAAAAGGGAGGCTGCTCTGGGCTTATACAGCACGATTTAATGCTGGAAGAGTTTTTACCCCTCCGGATAATTTCTGTTCTGATTAGCCTGGGTACCTAAAATGTCTATATCATTCCTTTGAGCTAATGCATTGCCTTGAAAAGGCCACTTCCCAAATACAAATACAATTACAAAAAAATAACAAGGTACCGTTCTATATCTGTGAAATTCACAATATGAAAATTATAATACTCAGTGCACTGAGGTCTCACTGAAACTGGCACATTTCAAAATCCTGAATGTACACATAACTTCTATCATGTAGGTATAACTTTTTGGGGAGTGATTTAGCTAGAGTTTTTGAATCATAAAAATGTCTATACTTTTTGATAGTAGATCAGTAGGTCCAACTTCTGGGAACTTATGGTTAGGAAAAATTTCAAAAGAAGCAGAGACCTTTCTGTATTTCTTTTCCATGATAGAAAAAAATTCCATAGTAAGAGAACAGGTAAATTACAACACAGCTCTACATAGACTCTCATGCAATCATCAAAATTATAATTGTAAAAGACAGAGAGAAGGACAGGAAAATGCTTATGAAATAGTCAGGTTTAAAAAAACACCCAGAAATCAAACTGTAAAGATTGGGTATGCATATGGATGAAGCTAGAAAATGAAAACAGGCCTCGGCCAGTGTGGCTCAGTGGGTTGGGCGTCGTCCTGTGCACCAAAAGGTTGCTAGTTCAGTTCCCAGTCAGGGCGCATGCCTGTGTTGCAGGCTCGATCCCTGGGAGGGGGCAAGCAGGAGGCAGCCGATCGATGCTTCTGTCTTTCTCTTCTCCCTTCCTCTCTCTCTAAAAATCAATTAAAAATCTGAAAGAAAGCAAGCAAGAAAGCAAGAAAACAGAAAGAAACCAGTGTGCTTTGTTGGAGGTTGTGGGATTGTAGAATAATTTTTTCTTTCTTTTATTTGGATTCATAGTTATATTGGTTGTGCAATAAACAATAATGAAAGACCCAAATGAGCTCTCTAGGAAGGGGTGTTGTGCTCGCGGGACGCGAAGAAAACTCGAGACACGGAGAATATAGAATTTAGGTGGAGATGCAGAGGGCTGAGGCTCTGGAGGCGCTGCAACTACCCTCCCACCATCCAGCGATTTTTATCGTGAGTTACAGAAAGGCAGGTGTGAGAGATAGTGATCAGCAGAAACCATAAAATGCGCAAGAACAAATGGCTTTGTGCTAATGCTTCACATTTGTTCTTAAGGCCATAACTCTCCTGGGGGCAAGCTTCCCAGAAAGATAAGGATCTGTTTTCAGTTCCTGGCAGAAATGTCTCCCCCGTTTTCAAGGGGATTTCTGCGATTCTGGGGAAGCTTGCTACCCAGCTCCTTCAGTTTGTTTGTTCTTTGCTGGCCTTTTCCTACAAGGGGTAGCTGATTGTCAGCCATCACTGTGTAGGCAAGTCTCAGTTCAGTTTCCTGGACGGAGAGAAGGGCCCTAGAGCTGGTAGGTTCTCAGAGGAAGGGGCCTATGGGCAAGGCCAGGGACCTCCAAGAGCACAGGGTACCAGTCAGGTGTGGGGACCACCTGAAGGGGGAAGGAGGGATTGGTGGGAGCTGGAAGAGAGTCAGAGTAAGGGAAGTGGCCACTTCATAGTGCTGCCTCTGGTAGGCCTGGGAAAATGGAGCCTTAAATCAGTCCTGGGACTTAATTCAAGTAGGTTGCACTGTTTCTCTTAGTCACTCACAATCCCGATTTGAAAACCAGAATTGACAAAAACTCGGAGTATTCTCACTAGTTCTGATACGCTGCAGTTTCTCTTTGAACTCCAGGGACACTGTGAGCAGAGACTGGCACAACAATATCAGACTTGCTGTTTTCCAACTGCCCTTTTTCTAAACTTATCCACCAATCTGGGTCAAATACTGGACACACACGCTGGCTTTAAAATCGAATTGCGGCCTATGATAATTTCTTAAGCAGACATTTCCTGTGGTTACTTGGGTTGTGATTGAGTCATGGATCCATTTCCCCAGAACTTTTACTTGTATTGACAACTCTGGTTAACTTTCCAGAGTGGCAGAGCAGTGGAGTGAATCACCAGACCAGGAATCAGGAAGCAGGCCATTGACAGATCACATACACTCTCCTGGCCTCAGTTTCTTCATCTGTAAATTGGGGAAAATTTTCACCAAAAACTGCATAGACCCAAATCCAATGGTGAAAGTCTGAAAAACCAAGATGAAGTGAAACAGAGCTCAATTTTGGCCACATTAATAGAAGTATCATGTCCAGAATGAAGGAGCTGATCCTTCCACCATACTTTGCCCAGTCTGTCCACATCTTGGAAAACCACATTTGGATTGAACGCCACCTTTTATAAAGGGATATTGACATACTGGAGTATGTGCAGAAGAGAGCAGCCAGGATATATGGAAGCTTAGAGCCTAGTCATGAGAGAACAGTGTAGGAACTGCAGTTTTTAAACCAGAAACTTATCACATAGCAAGGACATGATAACTGTTTTTGAAATTCTAAATAGCTACCTTATGAGAGAATTTTTCGCTAGCCCTACATGACCCCAGAAGGCAGGATCAGAGGATAAAAACTATAGGGAGACAAATTTCAAGTGTGAATAGAATGCAGGATGTTCTAATTGAACCAACTAAAGGTGGAGGGACAGTTATAAGCAGAGCCTGGGTGACCATTGGCAGTATGATCTTCTTGGAGAGAGAAAAGTTGCAGTGGTCCCATCTGGCCCAGTGAGTCTCTGAATCTAACCTGAAATGACTATCTCCTCCAGAGTGTCCTCCATAACTGCTTCTCCTTCTGGAAGTATCACTGAAGGATTGTCATGCTGGTCTTCACGTGGCCCAAGCACCCTCACAAACAATCTTCTCCCCTCCCAACCTGAGGTTCTGGAAGAGTGCTGTTTTACCAGAATGTTCTTATTGTTTGAATAAGCTGTATACCTAGTACTCCGGCTCTCTCTATTTCAAGATTTCCAAGGCAGAATTCCCTCCATGCCTCTTCTGCCCCACCACCCACTCTGGTTGTCATTTCTCTAGTGTGCAGACTAGAAAGGAAGACAGCTATGGACAGCACACAGCAAACAGACAGCAAGGATCCCTAGAGATCCCAGCCCCAGTGTATCTGAGTCAGTGCAGCCCATGAGCTTCCAGGAGATACTGGATGCTAGATTCTAGTGCTTAAGTTGCACATCTCTCCCCTTAGAATTGTGAAATACCTGCTTACAACAAAGAAACCTCTCCATAAGGAAGGGTGGGAAGTCTCTGACATGATGTGTTTGCCTGAGGGAAATACGGGATCTAGAAGAAGGGTAGGAGGAGGCAGAGAAGTGAGGCTATCAATATAAAAGCATGTGTACCCATCTAGAGGTCCTTGCTGCAGTAGGTGAGCAAGAGGAAAAGGGACCCTGAACTCAGGAGGCCGGGAAATAAGCAGTGTTGCCCAGATCCTGGTCGAGTCTACTGTAGGCATGGTTCTTGCAGGCAGTTCTGGAACAGACTTGTGAGGAAGCACCCGGGTTCTGGAGCAAGCAAGCTGTCCGGCTCCACAACTTACTTGCTGGGCTACTGTGGGCCACTTTAACAGGACAGTAATGAGACCTGCCTTCTCGACTTGAGAGGATATCAACACACAGTATTGTAGTCTTAGCCACATGAAACGGCTGATATCTGACCACTTCCAACATATAGAAATGACCATTTCATATGGATCAACCTCATACATATAGTTAAATGAATACAGTGGTTCCCAAACTAGTCTGCACCTTAGAATTATTTCAGGCTCTTAAAAATTCCAAAGCCCAGGTCATACCCAGACCAATTCAAGCACAATTTCTGAAGATGGGAAAACTGGCCAAGCGATTCTAATGGGCGGACAAGTTTGGGGACCATTGGCTTAGCACAGTGCTTGGTTTCTATTAAGGTGCTCAACCATAGCCACCTCTGCTTTCCCTTCATCTGTTGTTTATTGAGCACCTATTGCATGCCAGGTTCTGGCTGGGCCTGCCTCTGGGGACCCTAGGATCTCCCTCGTGGCACTCATTTCTCACCCTCCTCATTCTCAGTGTCCAGGCCCCGGAGCTCCCCCGATGACCTGAAGGTGCTGACTCTCAATGTCAACCGGCTGAACGAGAGCTTCAGGGACTTGCAGCTGCGGCTACTGCAGGCTCCGCTGCAGGTGGACCTGACCGAGCAGGTGTGGAAGGTGCAGGACGCGCTCCAGAACCAGTCGGACTCGCTGCTGGCGCTGGCGGGCGTGGTGCAGCGGCTGGAGGGCGCTCTGTGGGGGCTGCAGGCACAGGCGGTTCAGACGGAGCAGGCGGTGGCCCTGCTGCGCGACCACACGGGCCAGCAGAGCGACACCGCGCAGCTGGAGCTCTACCAGCTGCAGGTGGAGAGCAACCAAAGCCAGCTGCTGCTCCGGCGCCACGCCGGCCTGCTTGACGGGCTGGCGCGCAGGGTGGGCGTCCTGGGCGAGGAGCTGGCCGACGTGGGTGGCGCGCTGCGCGGCCTCAACTACAGCCTGTCCTACGACGTGGCCCTCCACAGCACGCGGCTGCAGGACCTGCAGGTGCTGGTGAGCAACGCCAGCGAGGACACGCGCCGCATGCGCCTGGCGCACATGGGCATGGAGCTGCAGCTCAAGCAGGAGCTGGCCGTGCTCAACACCATCACAGAGGACCTGCGCCTCAAGGACTGGGAGCACTCCATCGCTCTGAGGAATATCTCCCTCGCCAAAGGTAGGGAGCCCACAGTGCCTGCTTGGGCCCCTCCTGCTCAGGACCTCTCCCTGTGTACCCCGGGAGTCCCCTAGCTCCCCAAGCTGACTTGACCTTGGGAGCCCATACCGCCTTTATTAAGTCTTGCCCTACAGGACCCTGGAAATTTCTGCCCAAATGACCTACGCTCATTTCCAGGCCTGTACCTGTGCCTGCACACCCCGTCTCGCAGAGAGTGCACTCGATGTCCACCCGCCTAGGCATGAGAATGGCCAACGGTGGCTAATGGGGAACTGGGTAGTCAGAGCTTGTATGTGCCATCTGGGACCTCCAGGAGCTTGGGGCTGGGGGTCAGGCTGCAGGCTCAGGCTGGGAAGAGGGAGGTGCTCCTCCCGTGTCATGCTGTTCCAATGGGTAGAGCTACAAGGAGCTGGAATTCCAAATTTGAACCTAAAACAATACAGGGTGGGGCAAAAGTAAGTTTACACTTGTTTGTATGGAAAATAATACAATAATTAATAAATGATACAAGAATAAACTCTGTACTCACAACTGTACACCTACTTTTGCCCCACCCTGTATTCAGCCAGGTAGAAGAACATATTTTACTTAACAATTTGTCGGTTTCATTTATACCTCTTAAATAGAAAGGCAAAAAATTGTGCAGGCTTTCATTTGTACACTTGCTTGGGGCTCACGGACGTTAGAGCCTTCTGAAGTAATTTCCCTTCTTCCACTTCTGTGTCACTGGTCCCCACACCCCTCTCTCCCATGCCTTCCTGTTTCTGTCCACTCTGCACATCGCTGTCAGAGGCAGCTTGTGTGAAATGCACTTTTCCTGCATCATCCCCAGTTCAGAACTCACCATGGATCCCCAAGTACTGCCAAATTCATTGCTGAACACCACCTATGTTAGGTACGGTGCCGAGTCTCTCATATAATGTCTTCTAAAAACAAGGGCACTGAGATTCAGAGTTGCAGGCTAGGAGGTCATGGTGCCAGGATTTGGACCCAGGCCCTTCTGATCCCAGAGAGGGTGAGCTTTCCATCCCATACCTGTCCCCAGCCTATCCTTCCTGCCTTCTCCTCCAGCTGTCCCCCTAATGCAGGGGTTGCAAATAGAACTGTCTGCAGGGGCCAGTGGAGCCATGTCAGTGAGTAAAGTGACCTCAGTGTCAGGGGAGTGGTAGGGGCTATGGCAGGTCCAGCCCATTTGGGCCAGGCTGGCATTGACAAGTTCTTCCCATTTTCTAAGAGAAACCAGAAACAGAATGTTCTAGAAAGTTTTTAATTATTTAACACTGTGGGCCAAATGCAACACATCTGGGGGCCATATATGGTCCATAGATGGCCAGCTTGCATCCCCTGTCCTGTGTAAAGCATCCAGTCCGGTGGGACAGGTCTTGTCACCGGCCCAGAGACACAGCGGCCTTTCCCACTGCCATGGCTTTGCCGCAGCTGTGCCTCCTACTGTAGTGCCTCCTTCCTCCTCCTCTTCCTCCCCCAAATCCTTCAGATCTTACTCCATCCCCTGCCCCAGGAGCCCTGCTGCCCTCTCCAGCTCACCCAAGTCTCCCTCCTCTGAGTTTCTACATTGATCAGAGCAGAAAATAGTAATGATGGGGCCTCCTGTTTGCATAGTACTTTCCAGTTCACAGAATGTTTGGTGGTACATTATTTTATTTTAAAGCAGATCCCGCCCGTCCGGGTGTGGCTCAGCGGTTGAGCGTTGACCTAGGATCCAGGCGATCAGGGTTCAATTCCCGGTCAGGGCACATGCCCTGGTTGTGGGCTCAATCAATGACTCTCTCATCATTGATGTTTCTATCTCTCTCCCTCTTCTTTCCTCTCTCTGAAATCAATAAAGATGTATTTAAAAAAAAAAAAAGCGGATCCCCATGACTAGCTGTGAGGTTGGTGGAAGGCAGGTTTCATTATTGAGGGTAGGGTAGGATTCCTGCAGAAAAACAACTGAGGCTCCAGGAGGAAATAGCTGATTTACTTGGGGCTACAACAGCTGGTAATGATCCGACCCAGGACTTTTGTTTTCAACAGCTTTAATAAGGCATAATTTAAATGCTGTGAGATTCACCCATTTAAGTGCATAACTTAATGTCCAAGCCAGGACTTTTAGCCCAACGCCCAGTGCTCATTCTGCTACACCACAGTCCACCCCCATCTGTTCATCCCTGCATCCCCCAGCGCCTTACAGTGCAATACATGTTACTAGGACTCAATAAGTGTTTGTGCAACAACCAATAAATCTCAAACTTGGGCAATCAGAGGACTGGTTTTCTTGTCCTGGGTCATTTTGGGTTTCAACTCTCAGAAATCACAGGAGGGATGGAGGTAGAATTTCTTCTTTCAAATCCACACCACTGTGATCTTAGCTTTTCCTTGACCTCCCCTGTCCATAGCAGGTACTTAGTAATAATAGCAGCTACAGCGGATCATGACCTACTATGAACCAGACATTTTGTCTACATTAATTCTCTAAATTCTCTAAGACATTAAAGACCACTAATCCTCTCATTCTGCAAAAGGTTATTATTGCCCCCATTTTGTGGATGAAAAATATTAATAACTTCCCTACTGTTTATTAAGCAATTGGCAAGTGGCAAAGCCAAGGTCTGAAAGTGGGCCGTTCTGGCTCAGAAACCATGTTCTTGTCACTGACCATCCTGCCTTCCCCGTGGAGAGAAGGGAGCATGGCCTCTTGGGCTCCATTCCTGTACTCAAGGAATAGTTCTTCCCAAGCTCTCCCCTGTTTCTTCCTCTCCTAGTCAACAGACATCACCATGCTTCCTCTGGCACATCCTCCTGGGCCTCTCTGAATATTTTACATCCTGGTTCTTTGATTTCCAAGTCCACTCTCCTTGGCTCCAACTGAAACTGCTCTGGGTCATTCATTTGCCAAGGTTCTTCAAGTAGTCTTTCTTTGATTCTTAAAGTAAGTTTCACACTTGATTCTCTTGAACTAAAAGTTTCATTTCAGTCCTGCCCAGGCCTGCCTCCCAGTCTTCAAGCTTTGCATTCTTGATGGGCTACTGGCTCTTCAGAGGTGACCACCACTCAGGCCCTCTGGCTCTCAGGATCACCACTAAGTCCCATTTCCCTCTCTCATGGTTGCCAGGGACCCAACTGGTATGAGTAAAGAGAATTCTGTCAGGCATATTCGAATGCAATTACCATTCAACTTATTGAGACAAAGCTCTACCCAGGCTTTTGGATAAGCCCAGCTTTTTATCAGAAAAGAATTTCTAGACTGCTGTCTAGAATGGCCTTTCTGCCCTAGCTTTTCCAGTTCCTCTTAGTCTACACACACACACACACACACACACACACACACACACACACACACACACACTTTGCTCTTCCTGGCTCGGAATCCACAAATATTCGGCTATGTATATTTTTCAAATATGAGCTTATTTATGTTATTCTTGAGCTTGACCCCAAATGGTTTTCATTCTCTCACTTTGTTATACAGTTTTCCATAAATTTTGTCTCCAGTTTCTCTTTTGTATACATTCACAGCGATGCTTTCTGTTTTCTGCTTAGGGTTTTCAGCATTAATCGGGTCTGTTGAAATCTGTCTGTGGCTTTGAAAACAGATGATCAGAGAGAAGAGGCACACCAGGATGGGGAAGGTAACCAGAGAGAGGAAGCACACCAGGAGGGGGAAAGGTGATCAGAGAGAGGAGGCACACCAGGATGGGGGAAGGTAACCAGAGAGAGGAGACACAGCAGGAGGGGGAAGGTGAGAGCAAAGGCCTGAAGGCAGAACTCTCCAGCCAGATTCAGATGGTCCTTTTATAGAATCACATAACAGGTCTTCAAAATCATCTAGTCCATTCCTCTTGTTGAGGACCCTAAGGCTCGGAGAGGGGAAATGACTTGCCCAAGTCAAATCCTGAGGCAGTGGCCCAGCTGGAACTAGAAAACACATCCCTTGATTCATGAAAACAAGTTGGCAAAGCAAATTTATCTGCAGGTTGCTTTTTTGGGGGAAAAACGCCATCTAGTAGGGAGTCTAGTTCAACAAATGTTTATAAAGGGATGGCGTAATGTTGTGGAGCCATGGCTTCCAGCCTTGGACATTGGGACTTTGGCCTTGAGTGAAGAGGGATGTGTTGGAGGTGTTGTGTATCTCCGATCAGAGCAACATGGAGATGGTGTTTCTCCTAACTGAAGACTGGGAAGCATGGGCTGGGCAGCGACTCCCTGGGAGGGCTGTGTGGCACTCTGTCCTTTCACCTTCTGTGTCTGACTGCTGGGAAGGAAAAGGAGAGCGGACTGTGAAAATTAGCACTTGTACCCAGCCCCACCCACCACCCCCTCTGCCCTTAAGGTTCAGAGGAGAACTGGCCCTGCAGGACCACCTGCACTTCTGGGTACGAGTTTCCTCAGTGGTGAAATGGGGCTGACAATCCCTTCCCGTCTGCATGCCCAGGGTGGTGAGAGGATGCCGGGGATGAGGGAAGTGAGAGAGCATGCACGAGTATGAAGGTGATAGCACGGATTGGAGAATCCAGTGTCCCGGCGACATCAGGGACATGGAAGTGGAGTAATTAATAGAGGAGCTCCACCCCCATGAGCCGCCCCGGAATTAGCATGCTTCTGGGGTGGTATTTACATTATGATTTGGGTCACTGCTGTGCTGGCGTCGGGCCCACTTTATCAGCTATCATGAGAACTTGTTCTTGGCAGGTTGCTGTCCAGATTCCGGCACACGCACGTCCCCCGCCCCATCGCTAGTTCCAGGATCCGGGAAGGGGGAGCAGGCTGCTTTTCCCTCCCTGTGGGCTGGTTCCCAGAAGAGTCCTGGTGTTTCTCCCAAATGCTGGGTCACATATTCTTTGTTTTGTTCTGGAGATGCTTCCAGCTGGAGTGGCTCACAGGCAGCTGGGTGAGGGCAGAACGGCCCTGGAGCAGTGTGGGGGAGTGGACAAGCTCTGAGAGGGGACCCCAGGCACAGGTGTCCCACTCCCCACGCCCCTCTAGGAGGCAGGCAGGAAGGAGAAGCTGGCGCAGCGGACCAGAAGCATAGTAGAGGGGGCTCTGGGCCCATTTCCATGATTGAGGAGAAATAGACCCCGCTCCTCCTCATCCCAGCTCACTTCCATGCTCTGGCCTGCTCCAGGGGTAGAAAAGTGACAGTGTATAAAGTTGAGAAGTTAAAAGGCTTATCTGGGTACTATTGGGACCATGGATACTGAAATGGCTTTTATGACTGTCCAGAAGCCATTCTTGAGTCCCTGCTGTGTGCCAGGTGCTATGTGAGGCACAGGGCCACAGAGAGGGGAGCTCTAGCCCTATAGAAAGACCAGTCCTCTTTGGAGACCACTGTTGGAGGTGAGTGGCTGTGCCCAGCGAGTGAGCACAGGATGACCTGGCCAGGCTCCAAGCTGCCCCCTGTGGGGAGCTTGTGCACAGTAGTGTCTGGTGTTCTTTCCAGCTCTGAAATGTGGGGGCTCTGCTCTCGTGCCCTAAGAGACCAGAAGGGTGTGCGTAAAGGTGAGCTCCAGGGCTAAGAGGGACAGGACGCTTAGAAAGGAAAGGATTTGGGGCCATCGTGAGGAGAATATTTTTGCTGAGGTGGGAGAAAGTTTGTGTCCAGAAGCATCAGACTGTAGGTGTGCATGGATCAGTTGGGAGTGACCTGCGGGGTACTGAGGCCATTTGATTTGATGAGATTAATGAACAGAATGAGCATGAACAGGGTTGCAGAGAGAACATGGAGACAAAGGTCTCACAAAAGGCTGGGAGCAAGGCCAGGAGGACCCAACGAGCCTGGTGCCCATGAGGAAGGAGAGAGACAGATGTGGGAATCTCCTCAAGGACGAGCCTTGAAGAGTAACAGCCTCAGAAGGCAGAGCAAAGGCAGGAGTGACAAAGCAAGCTCAAGACTTTTAGCCTGGATTCCTGAGCAAATGATAAAAAGTGGGGTCCCGGGAGTGCATTACACATGAGCGGCAATGACTTGAAGAGGCGTTTTATTCCACAGAGCACTAAGCAGCCTGGCCCATGAGACTCAGACTGGCCACGTTTTAGGCTCCTCAGTCTGCTGGGCCAGCACCACCTAAGGAGGTGACTCAGGTTTGGAAACAGGCAGTCGCCTTTCCCTTCCACCCCAACTTCTTCCCAATTAATCTTTAGTACAGGCCTCACTAATCCCTTATTTGTGTCTTAAAAACCATGTCCAAGTGAAGGATGTTTTTCAGACCTGACTCTGAATGACCCAGCCAAGCTTGACAGGGTGATTTCAGGTGCAGGTTAGAATCCTCACATGCAGTCATCTTAGAATCATTCTGATAAAGGGTTGTGAAAAGTGGGGTACAGACTGTCAAGGATGACCTTGTCTCTCAACAGTTACCAAGCCCTTTTATATCCGTTACACCATTTAATCTACTTACTCATCACTACAAATGCCCATGAAAGGAATTTTTACTTAGATCTTCTAGGACCAGCACCTGGAACTCAAGAGGCCCTGTATCCATAATCAACCCCTACCTTCTAAATTATCTCTGCCACCCTGATGCCCCACCATCAGGGTCATTCTGCTGGGCAGTGTCCTCCCTTTGTGAGAATCACTCTAGGGAAGGTCCATATGTTGAGTCTCACCCATTGGAGTGAAGAGAACAAATTGGAATGTCTGGTCCATTGCAGCCTTGACCTGCTCAATTCCTGGAGCTCTGGGTTCCACGTGAGGAGGGGTGGAGGGAGCAGAGGAGAGTGAAAAGGGTTGGGGTGTGCTGGGGCCAGGGGAAGGGAGTCCACCCCTGCGGCAGCTGAAGGAGTGCAGAGACCCAGGGACCTCTCTCTGTCCCCTTTCTTCAGCCCTGCCCTGGCCAGAGGCTGCTGGGATGGGCGTTGGGAAGCTGATCTGATTTTTTGCTATGTCTCCTTTGCTCTATAATCTTAGTTGTGTTCTAAACAGGTTCTGTGTCTCAACTCTGTCACCTGAAAACTGGGATCAATATGGACCAGTCTGACTTTGCTTTTCTTCATAGAAAATAGAAAGAGGGCTCCAAAACCCAGTCCTCAAACGACTTGTGTAACTCGTGCATTTTTAAATTGTTGATTACTCTTTCTCTGTGCCTGTGCCATTGAATTATTAAACAGCTGTCTACTTTTGGTTAGGGTCTGAGGACAGTGCCAACTTTTGGAATGTATCAGTACATCTTGATCTTGGCCTCCTGGTTGTTTTGTATGTATTAACACCCTCTGATCTCATATACCCATTCATTCATCAAATATTTATTGTGCAAGATACTACTGCTATGCTGCGAGTATACATGTTTTGGTTTCCTAGGACTGCCATAACAAAGTACCACAGACTGGTAGCTTAAAACAACAGAAGTTTATTCTCTCACAGTTCTGGAGGCTGGAGGTCTGAAATCAAGTGGTGCACAGAGCCATACTCCCTCTGAAAGCTTGAGGATCCTTCTTGGCCTCTTCTAACTTCGATGTTGCCAGAAACCGTGGCGTTGCAAGGCTTGTAGACACATCACTCCAGTGTCTGCCTCCATCATCACATGGCATTCTCCCTGTGTGTCTGTCTGTGCTTTCTCTCCTTATAAGGACACCAGTCATTGGGTTAAGGACCTCCCTACTCCGGTGTGACCTTATATTAACTAATTACATCTGCAAAGACCCTGTTTCCAAGTAAGGCCATATTCTGAAGTTCTGGGTGGACGTGAATTTTGAGGGGTACTCTTCAACCCTGTAAAATATGGTTGACCATTTTCTTCACTCCTCTACTTTTCTCACAAAGCAGCAAGAGTGGGGAGCTTAGAATCTGAGCCTTCCCAGCTGGAACAGGGATGTCAAGGACGTAGTCCTGTCTCAGGGAGCTGGCCACTGGTTAGGAAAAAGAGAACACATACACCTATGACTACAGGACAAGGCATTGTGAGGAAAATGTCACATGGCACCAAGTACATGCATTCCAACAGGCCTTGCCCACTTTCAGCAGAAGTGATGGATCAGAGAAGGGCTGGTAAAGAGGGTGGCAGTGAGCAGCCCCTGGGGTGTGGGGGGCAGGTAGTGATGACAGATGGACAGGGAGGGCTCCAGGGCTCGCCAGCCTGGGAGCAGCAGCCTGCGGTGGTGGGAAGGGTCACTGTATTCTGGGAATGGCGAGATGTCTAGCACCATGAGTGAGGCAGACGGGGGGCCAGACAGCCCTGAGTTGAAACCGTGGCTCCTTCACTCACTAGCTGGCTGTGTGGCCTCAGGCCACCAAGCTTTCTTGTGGAGACTGGGTCCAATCATGGACGCTAGAATGCCTGCCACGCTGGAGTATCGCCCTGGAGGGAAGCCCTGCTCAGGAACCATTAGAAAGCCCTTCTCCCATCCAGGTGCTTCAGCCAGAAATCTGAATGTGATCCTGGCTGCCTCCCCTACCTTCTCCTACATTTAGCCAAGTTCTGTCTCTTCTACTTCCAACCAGCTGCTCACATCCCTTCCGATCGCCACTAATTCGTGGCTCTGCCACCTGTCACCTGGGGTATAGCCCCCTCCTGTCCCCCCTTTTCCAACACTGCAGCCTGAGTGGTCTTTTCTGTGCGCAGACCTGATCATGCTCTTCTCTCAGCCCCTCCTGTGGGGTCTTGTGCCCTCAGGGTCAAGTCCAGCACTTAGGCCTGGCCTCCCAGGACCCTCCACTTCCTCACTCTTCTTATCCCATCATGTGCCCCCCAACTTCTAATCTCATCATGGCTCACAGGTCTCCTTCTTATCTTTAAGTTCTTAAAGGGACTGTTCCCTCAGCCTGGAAATACCCCCTTTCACTCTGACTTAATCTGTTCTGGCTGCTATAACGAGGCAGCATAGACTGGGTGGTTTAAAGAGCAGATATTTCTTTCTCACAGTTTTGGGGCTGGAAGTCTGAGATTGGGGTGCTGGCATGGATAGGTGCTGATGAGAGTCCTGTTCCTAGCTTGCAGATGGACGCCTTCCTGCTGTATTCTCACATGGCAGAGAAAGCATGCTCACCAGCGAGAAGGAAGGAGGGAGTGAGAGGAGTCTCTGGTGTCTCTTCTTACAAGGGCACTAATCCCGTCATGAGAGCTCCACCCTCTCTAACCCTAATCACTTCCCAAAAGCCCCATCTCCTAATGCCATCACACTGAGGGTCAGGGCTTCAACATATGCATTTGGGGGGCAAAGACATTCAGTTCCTCACACACACACCCCTCCTTCTTTTACTTAGCCACTTTCTGTTCTGCCTTGAAATTTTATTTTGGATGTTACTTCTTCCAGGAAGCTTTCTCTGATTCCCCCACCCACACCTGCAAGACTGGGCAAGGTGGAGCTCTGGACCCTTCAAAAGCATCATGCTGACCCTTTCTCTTTTCAGCAGGGAGTTTATGTTTCCTCTGTAGGGGGCCTGTTCCAGAAGCCACCCTTTAATCTTGGTGCTGTTTGAAACCCTTTCAGGACCACCAGGCCCCAAAGGTGATCAAGGCGATGAAGGGAAGGAAGGCGAGCCTGGAATCCCTGGATTACCTGGACTTCGAGGTAATGGGGAAGCCCCTGGGGGGCACCTGGCCATATAGGAAGGGGAGGGGCTCCCTATCCATTCCTGACCTGTCCTTTCTCATTGGTATTTGTTGCGGGGCTCCCTGGGAGAGTGCACAATCAACTCAGCCTCAAATGGTCTGTTCTGTTAAGAGACTGATAGGTTATTGGTGTAACAATAGGACAGAGCAAATATTTTTTCATAGAAAATACCAGGATTTGAAGGAAAAGGGTACATGAGAGGCTCACAGCTCCCTGAAGCCACTTTCCACCCCAGGAGACAGGGTCCATGTAATCAGGGCCTTCAGAAGGAATTGAGGGTGTTCTGCGATCCAGACCAACTCTCCAATGATGCGGTGCCCCCTCAATGAATCACCAGGCACCTGACACCCCCACCTCCTGCTGAACCTGCGCAGGTCAATAAACACCTGCTCCTCTCCTACCTCTCTCTCTCTCCTGCTACGTACACTAGTGACAGCTCTGGAGATCCAGTGGCTGGTAGGGAGGGTGCTTTCTGGCCTTCTGGAGAGAATACAGTAAGTCATCACTTAATGTCATCAATGGGTTCTGTGATTTTAAGTGAAGCAATGTATACTGAACCAATTTCACCATAGGCTAATTGATATAAATGCATTAAGTTCCTACGGCATCCTGTCAATGTTATAACGAAATGACATTGAATGAAGTGATGTTATTCAAGGATGTGCTGTATGTTCTTAGTCTTATTGTCTCAGAAGTTCCTGTTCCATTACTTTATCAAACTTTGAGTCCCAGTCTGTCCATTCCTGAGCCTCTACTGTGAGCAACATTTTTCTAGGAGAGTGTAAAATCTTCTGCATAACATAAGAAAAGGAGTTTGTCTAGGGAAAGGTGTCTGCTTATTTATACCAGGAATCATACCTCCAAACCATCTCCTTTCTAAATCTCTAAGGAAGTTGCAAGCAGGAGTGGAGGCAGGGCTGGTGGAGGGAGAGCCCATGGCCTGGCCTCCACGCCCTGCCTCCTCCTCTCAAGGGAGCTCCCTACGCTCAAAATTGGGGATGCCCAGGGCTCCCAGTGCTGCGGCACCCCTTTTCCAGCTTTAGTAAATTATAGGATGGGGAGCCCTGGGCACATCCTGCAGTAGAGTCGCATTCTGTGGCATCAGGGCCATTGGACTCTAAGAGCATTGTGTTAGGAAGGAAAAAAAAAAAATTAAGCCCTTCTCTGAGGTCCTGCCACCTTCTTGGGACCACCTGCCCTCTTCCAGCCATTTGAAATTAACTCTAGAGAAATAATTAGTGGGAGACAGGTTTTTCCACATCAGAGAAAAAGCCCAAAGAAAACCAGCTAACATTCAATGCAGCAAAGAACAGTTAATCAATTAATGAAGGCTTCTTTCCTTTGCAGAGATAACTGTGAGCCACTGGGTGAGAGTGTTTGTTGATTCTGGCTCTCCCTGGTGGCATTTGGGCAGTGGCTGTGGGGCCTCCTGCTCAGGAGCCCTAGGGCCTGCTCTACCAGCAGGCCATCCGTCCCATTTACTGACCTTGCTGACTTTACCCCTCCTCCTCAGCCTACAATCCCTGTCCCTAGACTTCCCTGTGTTTACCACAGGAAGGGACCTTTTGATTTTTTTCTTAAATCTGATGGGAGCTATTTCATCTTCCACCCACCCTAAGTACCAGTAAATCTTTTTCATCAGTGTGAGATGAAGTCAACCAACCCTGAGCTTTTAGTTCAGAAAGACCAGGGCTCAGATCCAGCCTCATGGTCACTCTGCTGTGTGACCATGAGCAGGTTACTTAATCTCTCTGGGCCTCAGTTTCCTCATTCGTGACACAAGTGAAAAAATACTTACCTTAGTTTATCGTGAGAGTTAAATAAGATACTTTATACAAAGCATCCAGAGCAGTGCCTGGCACATAAAAAATACTCCAAAGTGAGCCCAGCTGGCATGGCTGAGCAATGGTTGAGCATTGACCTAGGGTCCAGGAGATTTCAGTTCGATTCCCAGTCAGGGCACATGCCTGGGTAGTGGGCTCAATCCCCTACAGGGGGCATATGGGAGGTAGCCGATCAATGACTCTCATCATTGATGTTTCTATCTCTCTCTTTCTTCCTCTCTCTGAAATCAATAAAGACATTAAATATATATATATATATATATATATATATATACACACACATATATATGTATATATATATGCTCCAAAAAATGCTCAAAAAGAAAAACTTGGCCAAATCTAAATCTCTAGCACAGTTAAAGATAAAGGGACACCTCCCAAATGGGGTTGGCACCACCACCATCACTCACAGTAGAACTGGATTTTTTGGGGGGAAGTGTCCAGCCTAACTGGATAAAAGGTGTCAATGGGGCAGGTTTACACTGACCTTTGGGACACCACCTCTCCAGCATCTTTAAGATACTTGAGAGGAATCAAGAAGCAGAGGCAACAGGAGGGTTAATGGTTAAAGTCAACTGCTGAGCCAAACAATGACCTCTAAGGGCCCCAACTTGTCTCTTGTCTCCCCAGGTCTACCAGGGGAGAGAGGAACTCCAGGACTGCCTGGCCCCAAGGGTGATGATGGGAGGCCCGGAGCCACAGGAGTGATGGGCATGCGCGGGTTCAAAGGTAATAATGAATCTCAGCACCCTTGCTCAGGTTGGCCCCTGGGCACCAGCATGAGCATTGCAGTAGGTAGACTGGCTCTGAATTCTGGCTCTGCCACTCACCAGCTGAGTGACTTTGAGCAAGTCATTTACTCTCATCATTCACCATCAGTTTATCCCCAAACCAGAAATTCTCATGATACCATATTTCACAGAGCTGTCATGAGGATTCAGTGGGATGTATACATGTGAAAACACTTTGTAAGCTCTGAAGTGCTGTCGAAATGCACAGGAGAACCAGCATTACTACTGGTTGCAGCTCAGAGGAAGCCAAGCCAGGAGAGAGCCTGCAGGAGAAACAGAGGCTGCAGACCCAGGATTTCCAGCTCCTCTCCAGTACTGCCACCTTCCTCACAGTCCATCATCGTCTTTGTGTTCCCCAAATATGTCAAACTTTAATCCATTCTCAGCTTTACATTGCCGATAGTGTTTCTTCTGATTTTTCTTCCTATTGATAGCCACCTTATTTGTTTTCAAGGGAGCCCACTTTTTAGTCAGTCCCTGTCTTTCCACATTTATTTCGAGAGTGTCCAAACCTCCCTCATTACAGAAGACAATGAAGAAATATGCTTTTTCCCCAGGTTCGATCTCCTCACTTGTTAAGATGAAATCTAAGAAAAACGTGCTGTTATTCATTCCCACCCCATGTCTAGGATGGTCTCTTAATCTTGCATCACTGGGAACTTTTATTCTACTTTCTGGTTGGTGATTAAAGAGGCTGAGGTTTTCCTTCCTTTTATGATCCACATTTTTTAAAATTGATTTTGAAACAAAGTACCAAAGCAAAACATGCTTGTTGAAAAAAAATTAACAAACAGAAACATGGACTAAAAAGTCGAAAGTCAGCCCCCTCTCCCTTGGTCCCTTATGCTCTTACTATAAACAGTTTGGAGCATATCCTGCCAGACCTTTTTCTAACCACATTCATATTTACATATATGGTTGCCTTTGTTTTTTTCAAAACTTGGGTCATACTTGGTATCCTCCCCTGGAACTTGCTGGCTTGCATATTTTCACCAGACACCATGCCATGGGCCAAATTAAAATTTGTAGATTGCTTTCTGAAGGAAGAATTACCTCATCATTGTAACACCTGTTTGAGTGGTGTCAGGACCTACTACTTCTTTGTAGGGTGAGATGCTACCTGGGAAAAGAGCTCTGTTCTTCTGACTGTTTCCTGGGAAGGAGATGGCACAATTCCCTGGGAACTCTCCCTCGTGTTTTATAGCCTCCCCCACTAGTGAATCTGCCTAACACAGAACCGGAGAACCTGAGTCTCTCTCTAGGTAACTGAAGACCCTTCTTCCTTCCCTCTTCTTATTGCTTATTAGCGCAAACTTGGATGTGGACTTCTAAAACCTTGAGTGTTTAATAGAAATATCTTTGCTTTGTCTTCTTTCTGCTGAATACCATGTACTCTTTTTTTTTTAACTTATAAGAAGGATGTGTTTATTCAGTCCACAAATATTTATTGAGTGCCAGGTACCAGCTAAGAATAATTAGCATCACTAGGAATGTAACAATGAAAAAGACATATGACCCCTGCATTTTAAAATAATTCAAATTTACTTTCTTTTGTTTAGGCGTCTTTTATTTATTTATTTTTATATATTTTTATTGTTGACAGTATTATAGATGTCCCCCATTTCCTACCCCCTCAGCCCCGCCCCTCTTCCCACTCCCCCTAGGTCTTCACCACACTTTTGTCTGTGTCCATGGGCTCTGGACCTGGAGAGTATTATGCTAAGTAAAACAAGCCAGTCAGAGAAAGACAAATATCACATGATCTCACTTATCTGTGGAATCTAATGGACAAAATAAATTGACCAATAAAATAAGTCCCAAGACATGGAAGAAACGGATATATCTCAGAGTGGGAAGTGGGCCGAGGAGATGAGAAAAACCAAAGACCCCTTTAGTCTGTGCTGGTTTTCGAGGCTTTAATGAGGAGGAAACGAAACTCCTCAGCTGGGCGCCTCCTCCCTCCCAGGGTGACCAGGACCGGCGGCCCTCTCCTGCCATGCCCTGCCCTCCTAAGGCTCTCCCTGGTCCTAGGTTAATATGTCTCCTGCAGAGAGTACGTTAATTACCATTAGGACTGATTTCCGTTTCCAATGCCAGTTTTCTCCTCTGTTTCAGGTGACCGAGGACCAAAAGGAGAGAAAGGAGATAAAGGAGACAGAGCGGGGGATGCCAGTAAGGAAATTTTATTGGGGGTCACTGGATTTTGTGTCAGCATAAGAGTATCTGTCACCCAGGAAGCCCCACAAGTTTGGGGGTCCAGGGGCTGGATCCAGGGGCAGGGCTTTGGTGTCAAAGGAGCCCCCTACCTGTGTCAGGGCTCCAGCAAGGGACAGGTATACTCCAGGGGCACAGGCCACGTTCCCAGGTGTGGTATAAGCCCAGTGATTTTGTGGAAGGGCCTGGAGGCAGACTGCCTGGGCTCCCCCCTGGCTGCCTCACTAGCTAGCTATGTAATCTCTGGGCCTCAGTTTTCTCATCTATAGAATGAGCATAAAAGAGCCCATACATCATAGGATCACTGTGAGCATTAAATGACTTAATCCACATAAAGTGCATATTACAGTGCCTGAGCAGGCAGTTAGGACTCTGTAAGTGTTCATTATTATTCTATGTAATATACCAATTCAGACATACTTCCTGAAATCATTGAAGATGCTTGCTAAAATTCAGTTACTGACCTCGTTAGAAATGCATGACTTCCCTGGGTACTTAATGTGGGGAAAGGCATGGAGGCAAAGCAGAATCCCTTCTGTTTTCCTCCTTTGCCACTAACTGAGCAGAGGTGCGAGGGATCTCAGTATCTGGCAGACCACTGAGTCTAGGGAAGGGTGTCTTTCTGACAAGGGTCCTTCCTAAAATGTTTACAAGGCGAGCCCGCTTATCTAGGTAACACCCTTTTCTAGGGTTTAGTCTCCCCGCTACATGTAGAACCTTGGAGAGATTGCCAGAAGAGAATGAGTCTCCTAGCCAAGTCTCAATGAATAGTGTCTCCTAACCAAGTTGCAAAAAAATGCCGACATCTAGTATTTGCTGGGCTCTGAAATGCTGCCACCCAGTGTGAGGCGTAAACGGATTGCCCCCTTCCAGGGATCTGTACTGCAGTCTTGGCTCTCCAGGGAGATAGCTGGGAAAGTGCCTGCCTCCAGGTTCTACTCTAGACACTCAGGGACATACACTTCTGCAGATTCACACTTTGGACCCAGATTGAGAGTTTCCCTAAGGCCCATCTTTGGTTTCAGTAGGTCCTAAAATGACACTTTCATCCCAGTCATGCATGACCAGAAGACCTCACTCCTTAACAGTGCGCTTTTCCAAGGTGTCCTGAAACTTCAACTTGCCTCCTACTTCCATAGCCTTTCCCTTTCTGGGGGCAGTAATTAAGGATCAAACAGAGGAAATGTTTGTGACAGCACTTTGTCACTAAAGCGATGGACGTACCTGAGGACAACGTATGCCTACACTTACCCTGGACTCCACACACCCACCTTACCTTAGGTGCTGTAACCCACAAAGCAATCTATATGTTTCAGAGTCTTTCTAGCATTATCTAGCGTCCCTTTCAAGGGCAGCCAAAGGCTAAGCTAGGAGTGTCCTGGCCAGATGAGGAGATCTGTTGGACCCTGCAGAAGCCAAAAGGAAAGTTTTGATGGCAAAGGAAGGGAGTCTGGATATGATCTAGAACATCTGTGACATATCAGTCACATTTATGAATTGGGCTGGGCACCATACTTTGTCTTTGGGTTGCTGCCTTCTCCTGCTCTCTTTGTTGACTGCGCTCTGATGGAGTGCCGCCAAGGTAGCTGAGAAGGACCATGGCATTTAGCTGTGTGAAATAAACAACTCCTGATGGGGTGGCAGGAAGGGAGGAACTGTGGAAAGATGACCTTTAGAAGGAAATCAGAAACGCTGCCCACATACCAGAGGGGTGCTGGTCAAGAACTCTTTGGCAACTGTTGTTCAGCTGGTTTGAGAGGCGAGAGGGAGTCTGTGCTCGCCAAGCCCGGGGAGAGGTGGTGGTCATCAGTCACCACTAATCCCAAGGATGCTTTTGTCACTGTTTAACTTACCTTTGTGGGCCCAGCTGGCTGGGCTCTGCACTTGGATTGGGCTCGGAGGCTGGGGGCACAGTATGGGAGGTGGGAGCTGAGCCACAGTGGTGTGGGGTTCCCCTGGGCATGGGCGGGGAGCTTGGGGGAAGGACGTCTAATCCACTTGGCCCTGGAGCCTATTGACTGCACTGAAAGAGGCTGATGTAAGCTCTGGACAGCCCCTCCTCAGGGACTGCTGGCATTCTTTCCTGCCATGAGGAGGCTACACCCTCACTGGAACCCAGAGGTCAGACAACAGCCCTTGCACAAAGCTCTAAGTCTCTCCTTCCTGTCCAGTGATGAAACCCAAAAATGTCACCATCAGTGATAGACCAGGGAAGTGAAGTGGCTCAGCAGAGACAGCTCCATCAATGAGAGGCTTTGTATAGCATGCAGAGAAATGTAGGAGACATAGAGGAATTGTAAGACAACAAAAATAAAGACCATTCATCCAGCTCCCTGTTTTCAGACTCCCCAAGTGTGGAACTGACTCTTCTAAGGCAAGGCCAGAGGCAGAACCAAGAACCTAGGCCTCTGATTTATCTGACTCTGGAATGAGAGCTAGGCCCCTGGTCTTGAAGGGTAGGGTTGGGCTCCTTAAAATCCCCTCACCTGGACATACAGAATTTAGGCTGAAAGGGGCCAGTGCAGCAATTCAGAGCTAAGATCTATGTCTTCTCACGGCCTCCACCCCCTGGCCTGCCTCTGACCACATAAAACCCATGCTGTGTTGAGACTCCTGGTTATGTTTCCAAGGAGCTCCAATCCCAGAGGCATTAACTATATCCCTGGGACTGAGGGTCTGAGGAAGAAGCCAAGGATCATCTTTCAGAAGAGTACAGAAATTCTGACCCACACTGACTACCCACTTCCGGGGGTTGTTACTAATTCCCTGGGCCCAGC